AGAGCTGGTTACATTTCTCAAATACGGAAATGTTAGATGGAGAAAATAAATAGGAAGACTTAGTTTTGTCTAATTATATTTTCATGACATTAAATATTCTATGGCACATTTTTTTCTTAGTGGATTTATATTAATTACTCATGAATGTGAAGCTTTCAAATTCTAACTAAATTAACTTCTAAATTGAAATGATCTCCTCTCCCCGCTAGAAACCGTAGCTTCGCTATAAAGAATGTTTTCTGTCTCCACATCAAACGATTTACAACGCATCTTAAATATATAAAATAATTTCCAATAACTTACATGAACATTTAATGGCGTATAATTTCAAATTCAATTATCGACACTTGAATACAACATAATCGAATGGCAATAGCTTTTGTATTGTAATAGATGTATAACTGATTTGTATATGCCCATGTCACAAAGTCAAAGTTAATTCACTGATAGCATCGTTTTTGATTGATGATATACATTTGCTTCATATCCAAGTCTAATTATAGAATAGACTTGGGTATGCAGTATTTTGTACGCAGATCAATGAAGTCATGGCTTACTTTGGCGGAAATTAATTTAGAATATCCAATAAGTAGTTTATGTACAACTTTTTTGTCATCATACTGTTTAATATGATAAGAGATTGATATGTAATTTTGGGTATTATATTCCATCTGTATGGCATTATCTTTTGGGAAATGCTTCTAACATCAATCATTATTCAGAATGTTGAAGGTCAACTACTTGAAACCATGTGCTTGAAGAAACATCATTGTAAATAATATTTGTTTTCTCCAAATGCATTCACATTCGGGCAGCTCAAAATAGATAATCTCTTACTGCAAAAAAGAAACAAGCGATAAATATGAAACTTAGTCTGAAATATTTTTGACAGTCTATGCAATAAAAATTTACTGATTTTCATTTACTACATGGGCTTATCCCAAGATCAAAGTTTCTAATAAATGGAATAAGACCCATTAGGACAGCTCTTGTGGCGCAATTGGTTAGCGCGTTCGGCTGTTAACCGGAAGGCTGGTGGTTCGAGCCCACCCAGGAGCGCATTTTTTTATCAATCTTATTTTCAACTCTGAAAATATGAAATAGTTACTTTTTTTTGGTCGAATGTGTCGATTTTCATTTCAACAAGAAGCGCATCTTTTGTATTTATGAAAGACTTTTTTTTTATCTCTTTTGATTAAAGGGTCATCTCATTTACTTGAAACAAGATTAGAAGATTATGTGTTCATGAAATCCTTGGCATTTTTATATTTCTCATTATTTTTATTTTAGTTTTTCTTGAGAAAAGAATTTAAATATTTTATAATTAAATAAAGAAATACTATTTTCACATATCGAACCACGAAGATATTCTATTACGCATAAAATCTAGCTTAGACTGAGAACGATAATTCGATTGTCTGCAGCATGCCATTTTTTTTGTGTTGATCGAGATCTTTTCTCATAAGAAAGATGCAAACATTAAAAATTTTATTATTCATTAGAAACATGAAATGATGTTCATTGGATTGAAACTCATAATTGTGTTAGCTATGCCTTGATTTACAATTTTCTTGGTTTTCTTCTCATATATGCATCATTCACTTTCAAAAATCACGAGTCGAAATCCGTTTGCAGGTAAATTTTATCGATTTCAGAAAACAGGAGGTCATCATAGCTCTTGTGGCGCAATTGGTTAGCGCGTTCGGCTGTTAACCGGAAGGCTGGTGGTTCGAGCCCACCCAGGAGCGTATTTTTTACTTTTTTTCACACAAAAGAAGGCTGAAACGCTGTTGCTGTTGCTGATGCCATAGTATAAAGAGTGAAAGCGCAAGTACTTCGTTTGAAGCTCGCCTGACTCTACCGAATATTGAAATTTAACTGGGATTCATAAGATGAGAGTGGGTAGGTTAAAGAATTGCGGAAAATTTCAAAATTTGTAAAACATTCTCTGAGAACCTTGTACTAGGGGCGTAACCAGAAAAAAAATTGTAGGAGGGGGGGACTGAGTCCCCCTAGACCTGCTCTGGTTACACCCCTACCTTGTACCGCTAAAAATATCCAATTATGCTTCCAAATTTGAAATTGTGCTAAATTCTTTAGTTCATTCTAATCTTATGAATACCTGGTTAAATTCATAAAAAGCATTTTTCACGAGCTTCTATTTAGCATAAAATTAATTGGTCATACTGTGTGAAATAATAGTGTTACTTTCTGGGAGAATATTGTTTCTACTACAGTATCCGGTGGCCGGAAAGATCGATCTGGGCTGTGCGTACAAAAATTTCAAGATAGCCGATATTGAATTATTATGTGTAGTAATCGGCATCGCTTCGTTTGCTTCAGAAATTATTGATTTACATCATTATGTTAAGCCTGTTGTTGTTTATCTTATTCATATATATGAATTAGAGGTGCTTCATTTTCTTATCGAATGTTGTCTCGGTGTTTTACTTACGACTCAGCACAAATAGAAAAAACACGAAAATTTAAATCACCCAAACGACGAGCCAAGAAAAAGCTCATCTGACCCCAAGAAAATGAAATACATGATGATCTAACTATAATGACTATTCATTTTAATTAATGAATCCCATAAGATAATGTTCGTGCTGGAGAATAAAATTCATTTGATGTTGTCACTAACTTTTGATCGATTTCAGCTTCTTCGTCTAAATAATTTATCATACAATTATAAATTATCCATTGAAGAATAGTAGAAAAAGCTCCATTACAACGGCATTCAATGTTTAAACCGATATAAAACGCTTCTAATAAACAATGTGTTATGAGACACTGATCAGGTAAACAAATAATTTTATCAAGTATTATGTAAATATCTTTTCCACTTGTATCTATATCGTCGGACCACAAACATCATATTACATATAGCCATTCTCATCATCAACGACTAGGCATACCAATAGAAGATTTATTTTATCTTTTTGAAAAACGATAATCACATAGAATATATTCATTGATGTATAAGTGTCATTTTACAGATATTTTATTGTCTCAAAATCTTGAATCTGCAATTTTATGTTGCTTATATAGATTAAACTTTAATAAATGAAATAAAATAGAATATTATTTGTTAGTTTGCTGTTAAACAATGAAAGCCACAGGTCTCTAGCTATCTTCATTAAAAAGTTATCAGCATTTTCCACAATGATCTATTTTAAAAATTGCGATAATAGTATTGATACCAAACAAAATAGACATTAATGCATGCAATGGATAGGTGAAAGAAAAGCTTTGTCGTAAATACCTTGGCAATGCTGCATCTTGTGTAATCTCTACTTTTACATTGAATAATTCGAACTGTTTTCAAATAGAATTTGTTGATAGTTATTGATTGTATTGGTTAGTATCAGCAAACATGTTGACGAATTTTAATTTACAGTCCACGAAAAGCTTCTAGTACTCTACGCTTTTATCTGTTAATCTACTGTGTATGCCGGAAGAAAGCTCAGAACGCACTGCATCTTTTGGTATATTTATGTTGAATATCAAATAAAGTTTAAATTATATTAGAAGAAAATGTGTCATTTTCTTTTTACTATAAAAGCAAGCTTTCTTCTTAATTAAACTAGAAATATGTATGGGCATATATCAAACTTGCAATTTTCCGGGAGAATATAGTTGAATGCCATACTATTACGAAATAATTCATGAACTGATACCATAGCTATCAAATTTTATTGAGATCTTTAAAATAATTACTGTTTATCAGTGCTATGAATGTTCTCGTGATTAAAATGCGCCAACATTAACTTCAACGAGCATGTACGAATATCTTTTTATCAGTTTCTTTTCTATTCGACTGTATGGTATCTTGCCACATGAGTATTCTCCCTAGGATTGTGAATGTACTGAACTCAAAACGACAAGACAATCGATTGACCAGTCAGCATGTTTCTAACTTGAACGAAACACTTGAATAGAAAGATCTGAATATCTCATCTGCTAAAAATTCTCAGTATGATTTGCGTTTTTTGGTTTTAGGCGAAAAAAAATGCGCTCCTGGGTGGGCTCGAACCACCAGCCTTCCGGTTAACAGCCGAACGCGCTAACCAATTGCGCCACAAGAGCTACGATGACCTCCTGTTTTCTGAAATCGATAAAATTAACCTGTATGAAATTCTACTATCAAAATAAGTATGTCGTAATGATTGAAAATGATATATTAATATATGATTCATATTGGTTGTGATGGATAATCATATTTTGATTTAGGACTATTTTTACAGTTAAAGAACAATGAGCATTTGTTCTATACAAAGACAATTTTGTGTTGAATCGCTTCTCATTTAAAATTAGATGATTGAAAATATCTTGCACGCTATAGAATCGTTTTTCAAATTGATCAATATCGAAACAATTAAAACAAGTTAGGCAACTTTATGTTGAATAGTTAACTCACAAGTCTTGAACGATAGGTTTAGACCTTGAAAATTGCAATGGCATGTTTCGGCGATAACTAGCAAAACATTATCATTACCATTGTGTACGATATGGAGAAATGAACAATCTCTAATGCCGAAAGCTTTTCATGAAATTATTTCGTATTTAAAATTGAGGCATGTTTCTAAAAATATCTGTTCGATATATGAACATATTGCCAGGCGGTTATTGCAGAAGCAATACACGCTTTATGGATCAATCAGGATTCGTAAATCAACTAAAATGCTTAATAAAAAACAATGATGCTGAAGTACTGTCGATCATATGGACTGTTTCTATGACTTTCTTTTAATGGAATTTATTGCGCAAGTCTTCCGAATCATTTGTATGATTTCATAGCATCTCTTTTAGCATCCGACAAGCATGAATTATTTTACGTGCAAGAAAACAAATAAAAATGAAATGATTTTTTTTTAATTATAGAACTGTTGATAAAATCAGCTAAAATTGCATATCATCTATTAAATAGCTAGCCACACAACAAATGTTTCTTTTTTTAAAAAGAATATTCGAAAGTTTATGATTGTGAATACAACATATTAAATTTTAAGTGTAAGTCTTCCACATGTACCACTATTAGAAATAACATCGGTTTGTGCTTGTGCTGCATCTTCTAATGAATAAACTCGACCAAGCAATGGTTTTATATAGCCATGTTTCAGACCATGTTGTAAATAAGCATTAATCATTTGAAATTCCTCCTATTGAAATATAATATATTTAAACAAAAAGCACTCTGCAAAAACCAATATTCTGTATCTCATCGGAAAAATTATTTTCGTATCACACGTCATTTACTTACTTCACTTGAACTAAATAAAGTAACGCCACAGATACTTGTTTCTTTAGCCATAAGAAGTCGTGGATTAATATCGATTGTACCTCGATTACCAATAACAACGACTCTTCCGACACCAGATTTGAGTAATTGTAAATCAGCATTCAAATTCACATTTGCTAACATTTCAAGTATTAAATCAATACCTTCACCATTTGTTGTAACATTCTAAACAATAAATTAAAATCGAGATGTGTAAATCGATTCATTGAAAAGTATAGATTTGTTGGGTAAAATCGTACTGCAATTTCTTTTAAATATCCTTCCTGTTTGTGATTGAAAACAAAATCAGCGCCTTGATCTCGTATCGCTTGTAAACCTTGGTCAGTTGATGCTGTACCAATGACACGTAAACCACATGCTTTAGCTATTTGTACAGCAGCAATGCCAACCTGTTCAGAAAAAATAGGAATTGCCAGCTAGAGAAAAGATTGTTTGTTTGTTTTTCTGTCGACTTACTCCGCCACTAGCTCCATGAATTAAAACTGTTTCATTTGGTTTCGCATGTCCTCTATAACACAAGAAAAAAGAAAGATAAGTGCAAATAAACGACGACAAAAGTGTTTTGCTTGGTTTTATTCTTATCTTTAACTATTTCGTTATATATCTATCGTTATAACATCTAAACAGTGTGTCATGGATGACCACGATGCTTTGTTAATTGCTCTCTTAGTTATTGTGGTTATTTTTCTTGGTTTAATAATTACATTTATTATTTGTTGGCGTATAAGAAAACGTCGGCAATATAATGACTTCCGAAATTCATCAGCATCAGAAGAAACGGGATTAATAACTCGTATTTCTCAACCGCGTATCGAGCGTGCCCAAGCACAAGAACGTGCCGCATTATTAACATGTCATTTTTATATTCGTACAGCAGGCGAATATACATTTCATTCTCAATTATATCAACTTGGTTCTAATCCAGAAAAAAGTTGGTTTCTTGTAACGCCAACATCGAGAGCAAGTAGTGCACTATCAACGGGCACGGCATCACACCTTTTAACGATTCAACCGAAATCAGATCGATTAAATTACTTAAACGATGAAGAAAGTACAACAACCTATTTTCGAACGTTAAATAATCTTTTTAGTCGTTTATTTCATCCCTATGTTGAACCAATTATAAAAGTGGATGCTTTATATACACAAAAATCAGTTGTTACTGTTAAACAATATCAACGTTTAGGTTCAGTAAAAGATATTTTACATGGCGTTGTACCAACAGCTAAGTTTAATGTAAAACCATATTTTTTTTGTTATACTTTTTTTCTCTAATGTAAAATATTTGTCTGTTATTCTAGGGTAAATATTCTTATCGAAGTTCAGGTTTATCACTTGAACGTGTTCGTTTATATTCTCGTCAATTAATTGAAGGTCTTCTCTTTCTACAATCAAAATCTATGCCACCTATTGTAGATTTACATAGTGGAAATATAATGGTATTAGGACCAAGCATTCAAATAGGTTCATATGAAAATCAATTTTTAGAACAACGTACACGAATTTATTCATTAGTCAAACGTGCAACATCGTCGTTAATACTTCCTGATGGTATGACACGAGCACAAGCATGTGAAGTATTTTGTTTTGGTGGCGTTCTCTTTGAAATGATAGCTGGATATGAATTAGGTGAACAATTACGTGGTTTAACACCAAAACATTGGCATGATTGTGGAAGAGATCCAGATGCAAGGCAAATGTTAACGCGTCTATTTGATATAGCGCAGCCAGTGTTAACTCTAGCAGAAATACGACAATTACCGTATTTTTCAAAAAATACAATAGAACTTAAAGAATTACGAAACTTTACGCCGATGCCAGGCGAATATTCTAATGATGTCAAAATTCTACTTGAACAATGGACAAATACAATGCGAAAGAAGCGAAATCCATCTATGAAAACATCGATAGCAGAAAAACGAAAGAATTCAGCTGCACCAAAACAAATGGAAACATCAATCATAAATTTAAGTTACACACCAACTGCTACTTCTTCATCATCATTAACAACAACAAGTTCAAAACCTTCAGCGCAATTGTCATCACCAATAACACCGCCTGTATCACAGCAAACCATGGCTACTCCCCCTCCACCACCACCACCACCACCACCACCACCGCCGCCACCTCCTCCTTCAATTCCTCCGCCATCTTCGGGTGGTGGTGATGATCGTTCAGCCCTTCTAGAAAATATTCGTCTTGGAACAAAACTGAAAAAAACAGTTACCGTTGACAAAAGTAAACCGAAACTTAAATAAATATTTTTGATTCGAATAAATTTCTTACTTGAAAATAAGTGCCCGATAAGCAGTGAAATAGGGTACGCCGAGAGCTGAACCTTGTTCATATGAAACATTTGGCGGCAAGGGAAAGACAAAATCAGCACGAGCAACACAATATTCAGCATAAGTGCCTGTGACAGTGTTGACTGTGAAAACTCGATCTCCAGCCTAAATAAATACAAAAAATATTGTGTAATATCAATCTTTATTAGTTGAAGAGATGAAATTTTTGCGCGAATTTTACCTTAAACTTTGTAACATCGATACCAACTCGTTCGATAACACCAGATGAGTCAAGTCCTGGTATGTATGGTAAAGTCGGTCGACGACTATATGTACCAGATCGAATGTATGTATCTACTGGATTAATACCGGCAGCATGTACACGAATTAAAACCTAAATAAATAATGAAATCAAATCTTTTCTTTCTTTTCATTTACTTCTCGTGGTTGAATATCAGGAATTGGCACATCCCTTACTAATTTACATACGCTGGCATCACCTATTGAAAAAACATTTCAATGATATATTATTAATTAACTTTAGATTAAATTAATACGCATATATACTACCGAATTCTCTGATTAAAATTGCACGCATTGCATTCATCCTATAGATTGAATAGGTGTAAAAAAACCAATCCAATAGACACTTTTTCTCTTGTTTCCTCGGTGAAATACGCACAACTATTTGTTGACAAGAAAAGACCAATACGAAGACTTAATCTCATTCGTATGTCATGTCGCTCATGATCGAATCAAAAACATAAAAGGTTGAATATATATTAAAATTTGATGGAATTGTTTTTATTTGTCAGTGATGACTAGAATCATCGAAATCATTGTTTTTTTTAATTTAATTAATCAGCAAGGTAACAAGCGAGTACTACTTCTAGTATATAACGATCTATAGTCATTTAACTAGAAATAAAATAATTTCGTAACCAGCAATATACAGGATTTATTTTATTTCGAAAGTGATTAAAATTTTTTTTTAACATTTACTCTTGAAAAACAAAAGGTTTTTATATTTTATTGTTATTATTATCTAGTATAGGTTGTAGATCATCAAATAAAATGCAGTTGAGTGTGTCGCGAGAATTGCAACAGATTTTTGTTTTTTAGGTGATTTAGAGTTGATCACATATTTTTCAATCAATTAGTAAATAATTCTATATACTAACAAGCTTTAGATCTAAATACATTCATGATACAGAGATTAAAGAAAGCTACTCATGAATAATACAATTGTAAAAACAAGAGAAAAAAGTAAAGTTCATATGCGTAGTTTCGATTCAGTATAATAGTTGAGTGGGTTTTTTTTATCGTCGATAAGCCACTACTGGTTGTTGACGAACGGGTGCGACTCTAGGGATCCATGTAGATCCAGCTAGAATTAACAATGAGAGAATAAATGCTACAAGATAATCAGTTATCAATTGCATACCTCTCGCTTTTAATTCCCGAGTTTCCTGACAAACAGCACATGGACCACAGCAACAAGTGGCAAACGAATCTTCGCACGGTTCTTCTCTCAGGGAATATTTCTGACGTAGTATTTTTCTCTTCAATACATGCGGTATCCAACACATACCAAGGCACCCTAAAAGCGAATAGAGACAGCACATTGTAGTACAGTCAGTGCCATCGATCTGTTTAGCATTTTGACCGAATAAGCATGGAAGACACCAGAGCCCATAAACACAAGTATCCACATCATCAAAACAACCGGATAATGGTGCTAGAGTTTAAAAAAGCCTATATTGAAAAAAAGAACAATACTCAACTAGAAAATGAGGCTACTGACTGGTCCACGGCACTCCAGCCTCTAGTGCACTGAATACACCGTCATTTACATCAACTTTATCCATGCTGAAGGATAGTACAGTTTTGATACAATGCTTTTCTTCTATCGAAATAATATGCAGTGAAAAGTAATTATGTATAGAAAAGTCTACCTTTTGTGTAGTTATAGTCGAAGAATAATGTATTGATGTTAATTTAGTACTTCTCTTTATAAACAGTAACGAGAGCATTTTTACCGGACATAAAATTGTCATCATAGCCATTATTTTTACCCTAGTATGTTATGTGGTTTTTTTTTCTATTTTTAACGAAATATACACTTGTCAATGAACTCCTTCGATTCCTTAGTTAATGGCAACGAGTTTTCTTTCAACAGAGAGAACAACCTTGCACATACCGGGGACACGCCTTAATTGAATGATGTTGATCTACGATTCACTCAAGTGTGAAAATGACACTCCATCGTAGTTAGGCCTATTTCTTTATTCGAAAGTACAAAATAAAGTTTACGAAGAAAATAGTTAGTCAATGATGACTTGAGTCTCTCAAATTTGGGTGAACGAGTGTGCTGAATGTGAAAATTTTATTTTTGAACATAATCTATATTTAATATTGTGACTGATGTCGAATTGCTTCTTTTTCTGCATCATTATATGGGCGTGTAGAGTGTCGCGATGCCAGTGTTATAATATGACCTGAATGAACTGAGGAAATTCGCCAATATAAATTTTTATTCTATTAAAATTAAGAGGTGCATGGATTTGTCGCTTACTTTACATCGTGATTTTCTATTCTATCTATTTGCATCCCGGGGCGGCTGACACACTAAGTACGCTGATACAATTACTTGTATTTTTTGTTTCATAATAACATTGGAAACTGAATACAACTAGTACAATTTGTTATCGTGTCGTTTACATTTTTTATTCAGCTTCCTTCATTTAGTCATTATTGTTCGTGTAGAAAAAGAATTTCTAGTTTTTGACTTAAAAGACATTAGAGAAAAACATGATTTTGTATTTTGAAGAAAAATACAGTTACCACATACAAACTACTCATTATCTATATTTCAACTCTTAGAAGGTGTGCGACTCGTCGAAACACTTTCACCCAATCATTTCTGCATTTGGCAAAGTCAGCTAAATACTTTCGATACAAAATTTTCTTGATAATATTTCGAACCAAAAGTACTTCTATTAACCCATAATGGATGGATCGATCTAATATAAGTATTTATTTCATCACTGTGAATCAATAGGTTAGAAAATGTTAAAATCTTACAGTCTAACGTGCTACTGACCGATTATGAATTCGAAATAAATTTCTTTCCCGTTTAATATTTGAAACGTTGTTTACACATTTACGATACCTGATGGATTTCACAGAAGACATTGTCAATAACCTAGTTGCATCGGAAAAACAAAGAATTAGCTACATGATGATAAGAATGCCTCGACACCAAATATAGTGGATTGAACTAGCTGAACGAAACAATCCTATGAAATAATAAACAAACCAAGATGTGTATCAAATAATTCAGAATTTAAAAATAATTTTATTCGATACTGTGTATTCATTACATGGTTTATAGCTATTTTTTCCGTTTCAAAAGATATTATGTCACACATTATTTACAGTTGGTGTAACGCTAATGAATATGTTGAATAAACAGAAAATTTTTTCGACAAAAGTTATAATATCGATTATATTAAAACAATGTCTTTACGAACATGGCACTAATCGCAAAATTTTGTTCGTTATGCTCATAGTAGACTTTTTGATGTTGCTGTTGTATGAATATTGTGTTCGATTCGAGCAAGAATCGAATACATGCCATTTTGATTTAGTTATAACTGATACAATACTCATCATTACATTAATCAGCATAAAATAATACAAATAGATTATTTCGATTGGAAAATTTTTATTACGTGGGAGTCAACGAAGAAACGTATATCAGATGACTTTGGTCAACTTTTGTATTCTGTCACATAAATGAACATCGAATTAGGATTCATTCATATTTGTTAAAAAGTTCCTGTACGGGTTTCATTATTTGAGCATAGATAGTATTTATTTAAAGCTTCATTAAAATTTAGAAAAGTTGATGCGCTTACTTGATAGAAAAGCTAAACTGCTAACAATAATCATCGATGTAATTGTCTCATAAATATGTGCATAAAAAAGGTTATGACTGAAAGAGTAAAAAATATTCGTGCTATAGTTTTCGTTGCTTTATTGAAATCTTTTTGAACATCACCATCAATTGAACCACCGCAACAATAAGCTTGTTCAGTTGTTGAATCTTCACAACACTGTGAATCGCCGTTAATTGAACTGCATTTAATTTCCTTCGAAGTATTTGAAGTACTACTATTCGATGGTGTGCAGTAATAATATCTTGAAGAAGCAATCGGTAGTGTTGTATTTTGATTATATGAAGAACGAGATCGGTAAACGTAGTTTTGAGATACTGGAAGAAAAACATATCGAGTACGACTCCATAACCAACCATTTGGACGATAAATGCTTGCACCAGTACGCGCACTATGATAGTTTGAACCGAAAGAAGATATTCTACTTCCACTTGTACCAATACTACCAAATCTACTACTGCTACTGCTTCGACTACTTGCGGCTGAAACACGAGCGCTACTAACACGGAAGGCAGATTTGAAACTAATTTTGCGCGGTCGACGATATCGTTTCATCGATGATTCTAAAGAAAAACAAATCTCATCTGTTTCTATACAATAGACCAGCGACTCTATATTCATTAATACAGATGTCCTACTCATACTACACTTGCCTGTCATTGTTTTGTATAATACAAAACTGATTTTGCCTTATCCTATGCTCAATAGACACAGTTCTATTCACCTGTGCTATGTACTAACCGTCTATGGCGTGTTCATCGTTTATATCAGCACGATGTTGATAATCCATTGATTTAATCCATTTGTGACAAATTTTTGTCCAGCTTTTGTTCTCTTCTATATTGAGACCATCCGTGTTTAACTTTTCACACATAAGTTCAATTAATTTCTCTGCTTTTTCTTGTACCACTTGTTTTGATGCATTTATATGAAGAATTCCAACCAATGGTAATATCCCTGTAATCCATAAGATTCGGATTTTTACTTGGATCAACATTACTGAGATATTGAAATAAAATGAAAGAGAATATTTAACCTTAAAGAAGTAGTAAGAACAGAAAAAAATCGACCATTTCTTGCTCGTTCTTTTTCTTGCTCTGCTTGATTGAACAGAGAGCAATACACACACACACACACCCTTTACGATCAAATATCAAATCGTTACTTTTTTTACTCTATTGTCTGCGACTTCGTTAATAAAAAATATCATGCTATGTGTTTCACATGATTGTACCAACTCTAATATTTATTTTTCATGACAATCGGAAAAACAAATAGAAAAAAAAGTCCAGTTGAGTAATTCATCAAAAATCTGCTTGACTTCTTTGCTGTGTATCATTTCGTTGTATTGATTGTCGAGCTTCTTTAGTTGATTCACGTCGACATTCTTCGTAAAAATGCTTGATAAAATAAACCAAAATTTACTACATCCAATTTAAATTTATACCGAATTGCATCTATTAAAGAACGAAAGCTTTCAAGCCAGAAAAAAATTGAAAAAAATTTACATACCCGTACAAATTTTGAAGCGATCTTGATCAAGTGGCTGACGTCTAAAATGAGGTTTACCAGGTGGCAGTATCGAACTCTTGAATTCATCTCGAGAAAAACTATTCGCAAAATTTACGGGCATAATTTCCGTAATCGGTAGCCATCAAATCAAGTAAATTGTAATTGTTGAACATCTTACTAGAAACAAGAGAATGTAGCATACACACTGTAACAAATGAAAACTGTATGATTCCATTATTCTATTTCAATCAATCTAGTTGCTAAAAATCTTCATCGAGCTTCATTCAAAGCAATTTTCGACAAACTTTTATTCTATTCAATTCAATTTCCTTCTAAAAATTTCATTCCATGCGATTTCGATCTAGTATATAATAACTTTTGTTCGGTTTGTCTCCAACAAATTGTTAAATATTTTTATGTGATTGGATTCGATCTATTTTTTCAAAACAATTTCATTCAATTTGATTCAATAAAATCATTGACTAATTTATGAAACCTTCTTTCAATAATCTTAACAATAAACGCACTAATGAACCTTCCAATGTAGTTGTTGGATCATCATTAAGACGTTCAAAGCTTGTCTTATCAGCAAGAAGTAATTCCATTTTACTTACATATTCATATTTGTCCATGATGACACCACCACGGCCTTTATCTGGTCTGGTTACAATAACAGTATCATCATTCGCTAATGATCTTTGATTTTGAACAGCTACTTCGAATAGCTACTTCTAAGACACATTTCACATTTAATAATAAATTATATATTCAGCATAGTGGTGTTGCAATGGGTGCTCCTTTAGCTCCAACAATAGCCGACGTATTCATGACCAATCTTGAAACAACATTGATGGATAAATTAATTAATGCAGGCGTTTGTGAATGGCATCGATATGTTGACGATACCTTCGTACTTGTTAATTTAATACTTGTATCGATAACATATTATCCATTCTGAATAACTTTCATCCGTCCATCAGATTTACTTACAAGATTGAAGGTGGTGATAAATTGGAATTCCTTGATGTTCTTATTACTCGATCAGCTGAATATCAATCGTTTGAAACAACAATTTATCGTAAACCAACTTATACCGGCTTGTTAACGAATTATCACTCTTATGTTCCAATGCAATATAAGAAAGGTGGTATAATTACTATGGTAAATCGAGCACTCATTATATGTTCAACATATGCATCATTAGCTACTGAATTTAATGAAATACGTCGAATTGGATTAATGAATGGTTATGCATCATCTTTTATCGATACTATCATTGGCATTAAACTAAGTCAATACCGAAAAAATAATAATGATGTTATACAATCACCACAAACTGGATCTGATGTTAAAAAACGAATGTATGTTGAAATACCATTTATAGAAGATGCTACTAAAGAATTTAGAAATAAAATAACGCATTTATGCAAAAAACTTCGACCAGATCTAGATATTCAATTTTTCACGAAGCCACCACCAGCTGTACAAATGTTATACCAATCCAAAGGTCCTATTGATAAGAAAATGAAATCTGATGTCGTTTATTCAATCAAATGTACCAAATGTCACTATTCATACATTGGCAAAACAGAAAGACAATGTGTTAAACGATTACATGAACATGATGCACCAAAGTCATCATCGGGTCAACAATAACAACAACAACAGCAGGAAGACAATGTCACCGAACACACTGATAACATCGTAGAATTAAGAAGATCTGATCGTTTAAAAGCAAAGTCAACAACGACAACAATAACTATAACAACCTCACCCGTCATTAAAGAAATAAAATCTGCAGGTCACCAAATGAACTGGGATAATTTTCGTATTGTCATGCAAGATAACCATTACTATCGATTAGTCATTAAAGAGTCATTATTAATAAAGGCTTATGAACCAGAACTCAATCGAACGACGCACTCTGTCTCATTATCGTCTTTCCTGATGGACTACATAAAGAGTTACTACATAAGCCTTTCAATAATGACTAATACTTTGTAATTGTATTGTCTTGTCTTGTCTTGTTATCTTTCTACTTTTCTTGTAATTCTTTTTTCTTATTCTTTTCATTCACTTTGTACATATTCAAATAAATTCTTGATAATGAGGTTTTAATTGTACCCCGAAACGTCGAAAATCTACGTATTTTTCTTTTCTATTGTAATTTATATTACATTGAAAAAATCATCCTATTTCAAGCCGCTGTTATATATCAATTTTTACCTACTATATAACTATGAATTCAGTTGTGTTTCGGAAATCAGTGTAAGGAAACGCGTTTTTGGCATTTTATGAACTATTCATACCTCCATGAAACGCGTTTTATCCACTTCGTCGATTTTACTGTGTTTATTGGATAGCAAATAAATTGCGTTTCAATTGTGGTACAAGATCTAACGCAAGAAAAGACACAGATTGCGTTCACACGCGTTTTAAAATAGGAATTTGAACGCGTTTGTATACGTTTGCTCTGATTAACGCTAACAAACTCGTCGAAGTTTTTTAAACGCGTTTAAAAAGATAATTGCAAACACCTTTATCTGCGTTTTTATCATAACTCGATACCGAAACGCATCAGGACGCCAAAATTTGCAACATAAACGCATGTAACTGCGTCTAAAATGCGTTTCGAGATGACATGGAAATGAAAGCAGTCGTTAAATGTCTCTTGTGCAAGAGTATAGACGTTTAGCGACAAAAAGTAACGAGAAAAAATTTACATCGATCAATTTTTTCTTGTCTTAACAATAATGATTCATGCAATAAAACAAACGCTGTATTATTGAGAACAAGAGATAAGGCGACTGTCAAGTGTAGGGCGTAGACGTATCTTTCGTGAGAGAATTTTTCAAAAAAAAGTTACTCACGGCACGTTTCATTCTTGTTATAGATTCATCAGGTAAGTTTAGCATCTAATTACTGCGAATCGATCAAATGAGAAATTTCATAAAAGTTCTATGAAAGCCAGAGACCATCAACGAACTTCCAATAGAATTTTGAAACTGGTTACTATAATCTAAGAAGAAAAGATTATAGACATCAGAGTAATTCGCTACGAAATTTGTTTTCCAAGAGAGAAACTTTAGAAGGGTGTGCACTCCAACCATGATATCGATATTTCATCTCAGCAAATATTTAATTTAGAATCAGACAAAAAACACTGAGTTGAACGTAATGATTTCTGGCGTTTCTAAAGACTTTGATTTTGTGACTAGTTTTGGTCGCATACTAGATTAAAGGCTTTTACGAAAAAATAAAAATGAACTAAATCAGTCATCGTAGAATCCGATGCATTTCACTATGATAACATACTTGATCAATACTAAAAATGACTCCTCCAGATCCAGTTTTTCATAGTGTATCTAACCATATCAGTTTTACGAAATACATGAAACGTAAAGTATTTTTTAAGTTGAAAAAACTTGTCTGATTTTCATACAGAAAAACCTACTATTACAAAATTAGATGTTTTGGGACACTAAAACAGTCTTTTTCTTATCGAAAAACTTCAAGAAAAAACTAATCAAACACATATTATCACTCAGTCCGACGAGCTCTATCTAACCATGGATAAAACGAGAAGAACAAACTTTGTTTGAATTTTGCATTATTGGTACCTTGGGATCTTTCATATAATAGCTTTCCTCAAAATTTGTCAATGCTCAGCTTCGTCATTATTTCTCTTCTATCACTAACATTCATTAATCTCTCTAAGCTTACCAGTTGTTCGTCTGAGTAGTAACATCGTTTTTGTTTCCTCCTGTAAGTGAGATATGACTATTTTATTTAAAATTCTATTGATACATCGTAGAGAAAAACAGAGAGAGTTATCCTGATCCCTTTTACATAATGTTTTCTTCTTATCATTGCGAAACTTTTCCTCGCTTGTTTCTTCTTTCTCAGCAGTCACAATTTCTCGATAGAGTTATGACTTAAATAAAGTTGTTTACAGAGGCTTATATGTAGAGCCAATGTGAACAATATCAAAGATATTTCCATGAGGGATCAGATCAGATACGTACGTTCCAAAGTAGGCATACCGCAAATTATCTTGATCGTTCACATACAGCTTTAATACCATTCGCAAAGCAGTGATATTAATAGAAAACAATGTGGATGCTCTTTATTCACTGAGGGTATGCTTTCGGTCATTATAGTAGATTTAAAACGTACTAACTGTCCAATTTACTCACTTGAACCAAAATTATTCTAGAAATTATTCATGTGTAGTTAATTTTCAAACTAACATTAAAATATATATTCATAAGATTTTCTTTCTTTGCGCTGCAAAAATGTCACTTTTAAGTAGCAAACAAAAGTTATTAAGGATAGTTTTCTTGACAAAAAGTGCATGACTGCTCCTCTTCTAAATACGGTGATGCATGAAAATAGAATTGTTTTTTTTCGATTAGTATAAAGGTTCAACTAAATAATATCACTTTTTATATTTTGATGATAGTTTTGAGTTTTTCATGACTGAGAATTAGTTTAGTTTTGAAAATGACTTGTAAAACGATTCGTTGATTCTCCATGAATCCGATCGTATCGACATAAAAAATAAAATTCAATAAATTTGATTGAAACTAACATTTGAACTGAGCCGAAACCTAAAACTAGAACCATAAGGATTTGATATCCAAGAAAGTAATCAAATTCGATTATGACTTCAATGTTGGCAAACCTCTTTTGCATTCATCACAAGAGTTAAGTCTCACATATTGGAGTAGATGTTTCCCTCGATTCATGCCTTATAAAAACTTTCGTATAGTGATCAATATTCAGATTTTGGCAATTCATTTAAATTAACTTCGTTAATAATAGAAAAACGATAATTGAATGGCACAACGAATATCATCTACAAGCAATAATCGCTTTGTAACCAATCATTTCAAAGAAAGTTACACAGTGATCCGCAACTCAATATATCGCTGCCACCACTAGCCTGTAGTGTCATTAGAAGAAGCTGTGCAAAGTCTTACTTCATTTGTACCTCACGTCGAGAGTTATGCTAATGAAGCTAAGGAGCACTGCAGACAAAATACTACACTGTCAAGAAACGAATCGGCTGCAATCTATTTTTACACAATGCCAAAACCTTTCTACGACGAACTCAACAAGACACTACGAGCTGAGAATCCACATGCACTGGAACCGTGGTTCCCATTCTTGAAATTATTCAGTACCGCTCTTGGAAAACTACCATCGCGCCCAGCCACAGTGTGGCGAGGCGTTGCAAGCAATAATAATATAAATTTCACGGAACATGATATGCACACTTGGTGGAGTGTGAATTCATGCACTTCCTATCTCAATGTTGCTGGAATGTTTGCAGGCGTGATAGGGATTCTGTTTTGCATTGATTCAATTTATGGAAAAGACATTACGAAGTATTCAGCAAACCAAAGCGAAGAAGAAGTCATTCTTATGCC